TGCAAGCTGACTTTGGTTTTAGGTTGTGTGCATTTGATTGACAGCTGAAGGTTTAGCGGACCTGTCTAATAGCGCAAACGTAGGACATAAAGTATAATATAACATGTTTAAATTCTTCTGCTTGCTTTCAATTGCAGGCTATGGTTCGCACCAACCGCGCCACGGTCGGTGGCTTCTTCCTAGCAGGCAGAAGTATGGTTTGGTGGCCGGTGAGACCCTCATTTTCACGTCTCTTCCACGATACTAAATGTCACATGAAGATGGAATGCTTTCTGAATAAATCAATTGAATTAAAGAAAAAATAATAATGATAATAATTTTGCCTTCCAAAGATTGGAGCATCTCTTTTCGCCAGTAACATCGGAAGCGGGCACTTTGTGGGAATCGCCGGGACCGGTGCAGCCTCCGGAATAGCCATTGGCGGATTTGAATGGAATGTGAGTTGAAATCATGAATTCGAATTCTATTTCAAATCATGACAACTCCGTAGAATATACTTTTTTCGTATAATACGTTTTCGAATATGTTTCCCGGATTACCTAAACAGTGACTGTTTTAACTTCAGGCTCTCATTGTGGTGGTCATCCTGGGTTGGCTTTTTGTGCCCATCTACATCAAAGCTGGGGTAAACAGGCCAACGTACTCTTGATTTACTCTTTCGTAAATCTAAACAAGACGTAGAAGGTATGGCGTCTATAAACTAAAACAGCATTTGCGTGTGTTTAGGTGGTCACCATGCCCGAATACTTGAAGAAGAGATTCGGGGGGCAGCGCATTCGCATCTACCTCTCGGTGCTCTCCCTCCTCTTGTACATTTTCACCAAGATCTCAGTAAGTTGTCTTTACATATCTCCTTGACTGTTATCAATCGCCATAAAAAAAAAAAAATGTCATCTCCCATCTGCTCAGGCGGACATGTTCTCCGGCGCCATTTTTATCAACCAGGCTCTGGGGCTAAATATCTACTTGGCCGTCGTGGCATTGCTCCTGATTACGGGGCTGTACACCGTCACAGGTCAGACCGCACACCCAGGAGCATTTTATTCATAAAAAAAAAATAAAATAAAATAGTAAATAAACAAATGGCTGGGGACGTCTATCTGGGGAGTTAAAGTCTTTTCACGCAACTTACTCTCAAGCCATTTGTCAGTGGCATGTTATTGTTGCCCATGGCCCATAAAGTGTGATAAGTGCAAGCAAGCCTTCTGTTAACACCGCTAGTTGAACAGTGGAAGAGCTTAAGTTGGTTGTGACGTTTATTAACAACGTCCAAAAAATACGCAGAGTAGACCATATGCAGGGAAGAGTCATATGAAGAAATATCGCTGAGCACAATTTGACTCACAGATGAGAGTTCCCAGGTTTGAATCTCGGCTCCGGCCTTCCTTAGGTGGAGTTTGCATGCTTTCCCCAAGCTTGCGTTGGGTTTTCTCCAGGAAATCTCTGAATTCCTCCAACATTTCAAAAGCATGAATGTTAGGTTCATTGAAGTCTCTAAATCAAAGCGTGTGAGTGTGAATAGTGTGCCTTGCGAATTGATGGGGACAAGTCCAGGGTGCACCTCAGCTTCTCGCCCAAAGTCACCTGGAATAGGATCCAGCTCACACGTGACCCGAATGAGGCCTAGCGCTATAAAAAAGCGATGGATGGATATAGTGCGTGAAAGTCCATTTATTGCAACATGAAAATGATTTACTTATTAATCTGCAATTTTCTCGCCTAATCTATTTAATTAACCCTTTATTACACCCTGTAACATGATAAACTGTCCACCATAGTAACCGCTGTGCCTCAAAGGGTTCACCTATTAGCATGGCCTTTTCTACAATATGCCGTGACGCATGAATCTATGCTACAGTCCTAAATTTAGATCGGCCAAGTTAAATGTCAAGTTTTTCCACATATAAAACTCACATAGAACTAGAATAGCACTCGAAGACCTCCACCAAGGCTTAATCTCAGGCCCCTTCAGGTTTTGAACCGTTTCATTGTGTTTTATCTGTTGGCTGTATGACTGCAATCTATGACGGTGAATCATCTCATCATGCTTTTTCGAATTTCATTCAGGATTCATCACCCCCCATTTTGCAAAGTTTTTAAGGACATAAGGATAAATTACAGCTCAAACTGGGAAGTGCTACAAAGCTGTTGTGTTTTGTCCTTAAGGTGGCTTGGCTGCGGTGATCTACACAGACGCCTTACAGACCATCATTATGATCGTCGGATCGTTCATTCTCATGGGCTTCGGTAATCCTTTTTTTTTTTTCTTCTTCATTAATATCCATATGAATGCGGTTTGAAATATATCGTTTGAAATGTGTCGAAATAAAAGATCTGCTTTGCAGCCTTCAATGAAGTGGGCGGCTATGAAAGTTTCCAGGAACGCTACATGAAGGCCATTCCCTCCATCACGGGGAACATCAGCGAGAGTTGCTACAAGCCTCGGCATGACTCCTTCCACCTTTTTCGGGACCCCATCACAGGAGACCTGCCCTGGCCCGGCTTGGTGTTTGGACTCACTATTCAAGCCACGTGGTACTGGTGCACTGATCAGGTCAGTCAAATGGCAAGTGGTGTGATTCAGGACATATCCGTGGTCATTAAAAAAAAAAAAAAAAAGTCTTGATGGATCACTTATTGACTGATTAACCCTTTCAGGGACAGCGGTTCCTACAATGGACAACTTATCACGTTATCAGGTTACAGGGTGCATGAAAAGGTTAAATCCAGCTTTATCTCAATCGTTTTGGCCAAGCAGAACTAATGAGATCACTTTCCTGGCTATTGTGTGCTTTCACGAATTGTCATTCATGCATTAGATGTCGTTTTACGACTTTTATCTTCTATTTCCCGAAGAACCAAACGACTAATGCGCCGGTGCCTCGATGTTGTTGTTGACCGAGAAGATTAACCGCGCCTCGTTGACCCTCACAGAAAGTCGTTAGAGTGACACATTGTCCAATTACGGTGGAGTCTTCAACTCTGACATTCTGTTTAGACATATAAAAAGTAAACAAACAAAAATAAGCAGTTTTCTATTTGGCAGCACTGTGTACATGAGCAGGCTACTTCCTTATTCGTGAGGGATAACAGTGAGATCGGACTGTCCCATTTCTGGTGAGAGGGGTCCAGCTCCAGGGTGAATATTAATTCTCCTTACATTTTAAATGTATTAATTGTGATTGTCTGTCCCTCAGTCAGTTGGTTACTTAGTAGGCAACTTACTCTGACACAGTTACAGTTACAGTTCTTTTCTGAAACATTTTGTCCCCCCCCAATTTTGCTGCTGTAGACTGCAAATTTCCCCAGTGTGGGACAAATAATGGTGATCTTATCTTATCTTACATTGTAAAATAAATACAGTACATAAAATTGATACGATATCTTTTGCAATTTTCATCAATACCAATACTTTCATTCAGTCATTCATTGAAAAGAAAGGAAAAAAAAGAAAATCAATCAACAGTCGTCGCTTCAGCCAAATTCATCCGCGTGACTATTCGCAACGGGCCTAAGAGGTGTTTCACATCTGGGTTACATGGAGCTATTAGAAGGACAGAGCGCCATTGTTGTGAACACAACTGTATTCACGATATCGATTTGTTTGTCTCCACCCCTCCAAACAACGCAGGTGATCGTGCAGCGTTGCCTGTCAGCCAAGAATTTATCCCACGTGAAAGGCGGTTGCATCTTATGCGGCTACCTGAAGCTGCTGCCCATGTTCCTGATTGTTTTCCCCGGAATGATCAGCAGGATCCTCTACTCTGGTGAGTCACGCCGACGTTTCTAGGCGACTTGCACAAAGCGAGCCGAACGGCGTTGTTTTGCAGACGTGGTGGCCTGCGTGGACCCGGCCGAATGCGTCAAGCACTGCGGGGCCAGCGTGGGTTGCACCAACATTGCTTATCCCAAACTGGTGGTGGATCTGATGCCCGTAGGTGGGTAAAGGAGAACCTCGCCTCACAACCGGCCTCACCTCACTGAATCCAAGCCGTGCATTCTCAGGTCTGCGTGGACTCATGCTGTCGGTCATGCTGGCCTCTCTCATGAGCTCCCTCACCTCCATCTTCAACAGCGCCAGCACTCTCTTCACCATGGACATCTACACCAAGATGCGGCGCTCCGCCACCGAGAAGGAGCTCATGATCGCTGGCAGGTTAAACGAATGCTTGACGAGAACCAATTTGCACGGTTCGGCTTTATAGACGGCCAACTGCCCCGCTGTGCTTGTACTCGTTGCAGAGTGTTCATTTTGGTGCTGATTGGCGTGAGCATCGCGTGGATCCCGGTGGTGCAGTCGGCCCAGAGCGGTCAACTCTTTGATTATATCCAGTCCATCACCAGCTATCTGGCACCGCCCGTCACCGCCGTTTTCATTCTGGCCATCTTCTGCAAGCGAGTCAATGAGTCCGTGAGTTTCTTCTGTGCGGGTGGTTCGCCTTCTGTGCGGGTGGTTCGCTTGTATAAACAGCGAGATGAACTCTGCTCCGTTTATCATCACGTTCAAAGAATGACTGTGCAAAGGTCTTTTTGTGACAGCTTTTAGTTACGGCGTTGTGTAATGAGGTGACGGTGGCCAATTTGCTGTTTTAATTTGAGCTCGACCGGTTGCTGTGAAGCCTTTTACGGCATACATCGGGAATCACCAAAAAGTATGACATCATCACCATCATTAACCTCTTTCAGGGACAGCGGTTACTACAGTGGACAGGTTACAGGGTGCATGAAAGGGTTAAAATATATGAGTGTCGTAGTGTAGTTGTGGCGGAATACTTACCGGGGCGGTAGTCTCCCCTTTTTAAGAGGTGGGATGGGAGTGTGTGTTCCAACTTCTTTGTTTTACAGGGTGCCTTTTATGGGCTCATGATCGGCCTCCTCATCGGCTTATCCAGGATGATCGCAGAGTTTGCTTACGGCACAGGCAGCTGCGTGGAGCCCAGTAACTGTCCCACCATCATATGCGGCGTTCACTACCTCTACTTCGCCATCATCCTCTTTGTGGTCTCCTGCATCGTCATCCTTGGCGTCTCCCTCGTGACCAAACCCATCGCCGACAAACACGTACGAAAACAGCTGATGGAACAGTAACCTGTACAAGAAGCGCCGCGCGTCACTCGAGATGTTTTGTCTTGGGTCCAGTTGTATCGACTGTGTTGGAGCCTGAGGAACTGTACTGAAGAAAGAGTTGACCTGGAGAAAGACGACTGGGTGGAAAATGTCAACAGTATGGAGGTGGAGGGTAATTGTCTCATGATTAATAATAACCCAAATGGTGCAGCCATGACCTTTATTTATTTTTTTTAAGATACTACTAGTTAAAGTTGACCTTCGCTATTCATGGGGGATAACGATGTAATCCCCCTTCACGTTCTTTTCTGTCTTAGAACCGGAGGAAGAACCGGGCTTCTGCAAGAAGGTGCAAGCGTGAAATAGCGGAAACCCATAAATATTTGACGGCCCTTGAAATGTATACGAAAAAAAATTACACCCCACCCCCCCCAAAAAAATCTTAAAAAAACACAAATAAACATTCAATATAACGACAGACTGGGGCGGAAATGAGGGGTGAAAAAAAATCCCTGACACAACAGGGGGAAAAAAAAAACAAAATCTTTTTAAAATATCAGGAAAAAAAAAGTCTTGTCAAATGTAGTATCATGAAAAAAAAATGCACTTCCAGAACGATTCAGAAATGTAATCCCCCGTCACGTTCTTTTCTGTCTTAGAACCGGCGGAAGAACCGGGCTTCTGCAAGAAGGTGCAAGCGTGTTTCTGTGGCCTGGAGCAGAAAAAAACTCCAAAGCTGAGTGAAGAGGAACAGGCCGAGCTGCAGAGGAAGCTTACGGACACATCCGAAGTGCCGCTGTGGCGGAACGTTGTCAACGTCAACGCTCTCCTCCTCCTCTGCGTGGCTGTTTTCTTTCACGGATTTTATGGCTAAAGACATCAACGTCTTCTTCATGTCTTACAACTCCAATGTCTTCAGCATACAATGTAAAAACAATGGAATTGACCTTGCCGTTCCAATACTTATGGAGGGGACTGTAATTCATATTCTAGTGCTGCAGAAATGCACTTCACGTCTTTGACATTTTTGTTCAATTCATCATTCCAAACACTCAAGACTACTTGAGTGAGTGGACACATGTCCCGGGGGACTTTTTTTTTGGAACGTAACGTGCTTATCCAGGACAATACAACCTCACTGGATGAAATAATGACATTGAGACATTGACGGTGTTGACCTCCTGAGGTCAACAGAAGCAGGACTGAGTCAAGATTTTCAGATTTCACTGACATATTACAGTGCTGAGCTCCTTTTTTTTTTTCATTAGCGACTGCTAATTAGCTGGGTAGGAAGCTGCTGGGCTGGACAAAAGGAGGCCGCCCCCGGTTTACAATAGACACAAGCTAATGGCTTATTGTAAGTTATGTAATAAAATGATTTGTGATATTTTTCCTCCATGGATCTGAGGATTTTTTTTTTTTTTGGTTTCATTTTCTGTATTTTGCAAAGTGCAAAGTGCAAAGACGCCGCCTTCATCTTGAATGCTGAATATATTTGTAGGATATAAGACAAGGTAAAACAATGTTGGGGGGAAAAAAAAACATTGCTTGTAACAGGGAGCTATATCAAAGCCACTTGAATCAGAACTTCTCCAAGTTATTTTGAAAGAAGAAAATATTTCAGAGCATGAGCTGTAGTCCTGCCCTTTTCTGCCATTGAAATAGTAAACAAATATCATTTAAGTATTTTTATTTGGATAGAAGAATATTTTTCACTGAATTTGATATTGCAGTGTATTTATTTCTAACCATTTTTTTTTTGTTTGAAACAAATAAAGGTAAGTATAGATTAGTGAGGGGGCTGGAATGAATTCATTACATTTCCATTCATTTCAATGGGTAGCATTGTCTTGGTTGATGAACGTTTCATGTGACAAATTGGATGACAGAAGCAATCAGGTTTGTCACATGAGGTTCCACTGTATAATCTATAATTATTACAGTTATTAACATTAGATGCTCCTGCCACACTTAACATGACCCGAGTATTAACCACACATTCTTTAGTTAATAAACACTTTATAAAGCATCGTAAAGGCCCCTTTCATTTTAAGTAACGCTTCTTGTCGAGAACATCAACCATGGATGAACCGCAGTCAGCATTTTTACCGAACATGATTTGTTCTTGAATTTATGCTTCATTTCCTTCTCTCGGCACTCTGGAGATTGGATCTGCGTGTGCGCCTGAAATATTTCCTCTGGCAACTGAAAAGCGCGCCGCCGCCGCCTGCGGGGCCACTGCAGTGTGTGCTGCGGCGAGAGGATGGGAGGGAGTGTGTGATGGAGAGATAGCGGGCGCGAAAGAGAGAGAGAGAGAGAGAGAGAGAGAGAGAGAGAGAGAGAGAGAGAGAGAGAGAGAGGGCAAAGTGAGGAGAGTGCGCATGTGCAGCAGTGAGGTGCGCTCGCCTGGAACCGACGAAGGAGGAGGAGGAGGAGGTGCTGTTGTGAAGCGGGGCTGATAAGAGCCCAGGAGAGCGGGACGACAAGGAAAACAATCCCGTTTGATTCAAAACCCAGGGGCCAGGAGGACTTAAGCTACAGCAGGGAGGAAGAGGAAGGATGGAGACAGCTGAGAGAGACGCTCCGACACACCCCGGAGGAGGCAGAGCGGCGGCGTGAAGGACAAAAGAAGAGGGATGTGGACGTGCCTCCACCTTGCCTCCTCCATCTTAACATTGCCTCCATCCTCATCCTGCCGGGGAAGCGAACGCCGCCACCTTCTCCTCCCGCTTGCTGAATAAAGACCCCAACGAGGCTTAAGGTGAGGATGATGCCGTTTTTGCCCGTTTGTTTACGAGACGGATCGCCGAGAAGCGATCGAGATCTGGAGGAGGTGCCGGGAGGCTTGCGGGGCTGTTGCATCATCGCACAAGCATGACTGGCGATAGCCGTCCCAGGGCCACTTACGAAAAGCAAATGTGGATGAACTAAGTTTGTGTTTTAACGGGATGAAATGCCATCATTGGCTCCGCGTAGCTTACGGGCAGCAGCTTCCCCACCCTTGCTGTGGGAGTTAGAGGTCTCGAGTAGTCTTGACATTTGGCAGACTTCTTGGACGGTGTGTGTGTGTGTGTGTTATCCCGACACGTACATCGGTACTGCAGGAGGAAATATTGCCATTGCACAACCGTCTCTCCCTCATGCCCCAAAAGCTTCTCCATCTTAAATATCGTGCACATCAACAATGGCTTCTAGACATGGCGGGCTTTTTCTTTTT